AGCGAAGCAGAAAAGACCTTCCTCCTCCAGACGTCGCACCTCCGCAACATCTGCCCGGATCTGGTCATTTGAGCCCGCCAGCACCAATAGGCCAGGTATCGTAAAAACGTCGACTGTCATGGCAACTGCAGATCCACATGAAATGGAAGTGTGCAATTCCAGAAATGTAGCCAGCTTCTTCATCCTCTCATAGCCCGGTGTGCTTGTCACTGTGCCCGCGGAGTAGGACACCAATGATACCATCAACCCTGAAGTGCCGAAGGCTCTGGGAACATCGGGGAGTGCGTCAAAACGCTTCTGGTTCAGGGAGTCAAGAGTTGCATCTACCTGAGAGGTGCCTGTAAGCAATCGTGCCAAAGAAATGAATGCACCGTTGGCACCCATCATGCGCATGTTCACTTCTACGAGACAAGGACCATCAGGAGTCATCTTGACCTCGGCATGAGTTGCGCCATTGCGAACCTGCAATGCATCGAGCACTGCACGAGTATATGAGATCATCTCCGGCGGACACTCCTTCGTCTCGAGGGGTCGCGTGGCCAAATAGACGAAAGTACTGCCATTCAAAGCTTTCTTCTCGTAGACCCAAGTCATCACAGTCTTGTGCACTCCGTTTCTTGAGACGTGGTCTACAACATACTCCTGACCAGCAAGAAATTCCTGACACAAAATCGCAGTGTCGGGGGAGTCCACTTTCCTTTTCATGGCGTTCAGGTATATAACTAAAGTGTTCCTCTGCTTCCTCCAGTGACTGGCAAAGCTTTACTCCGTCAGTGCCAGCACTCTGCACTGGTTTCACCACCATTGGAAGCCCTAGATCCCCCAAGAAATCCTTCACATCCTGCCACTTGGAGCCACACACTTCACGAACCGCCCTTAGCCCAGACTTCTCCAGTGCCTTCTGCTGCACGTGTTTGTTCCGACGGTCGCCGCCCGCAAAGGTTGCGTTCCCCGAGCCATGGGGCAAAAGCCCCAAGTGTAGAGAAATGAGGTCGGCTAACTTTACCCCTGTTTCGTTTCCGGGGATGCAAGCGCTCAGTACTGTGGCAGAGCTTGGGCTAGTGCGACGCAGCTGATCTTGGATGGCCTCGACGGTCGCTGCAATGGAAGCTTGCTCTTCCACTGCTTCGTAGCCATCACGAATCCCTGCCAGGGCTCCCCGAATCTGTGGTGTGCATTCTTTACTCCACAGAGAGACCACCCGAAAACCACGAGACGATGCAACTTCTGCCATCCGAGCTCCGGTGGAGATTGGATCCACAATCACAATGACTTCCATCGCACTGATTTGTTTGCGTGTGCGACGGACCCTGGCAAACACAAACTTGAGCCCTAGCAACACCATGACAAGTTCAAGCCTCCTGGT